GCGTTCGTGTGTGTGTGTGTGTGTGTGTGTGTGTGTTCATGGCTTGGACCATCTCAACAGGAAGCAAGACTCATTCGGATGATTTGCCACTGACAGACTGACATTTTATTAACAAGTGACGAATAATTCTATTCAAGATGCATTTATGTCAAATAAATGTACTGTTTCCCAGAAGCCATAGATAGAAACTTTATGTCAGGTTGTGTATTAGTGCATCACAATGTGGCAAAAAGTGGAAATGCAGGTCTGAACACCAGTATATCGACAGGTGCATCTCAATAAATTAGAATGTCATGGAAAAGTTCATTTATTTCAGTAATTCAACTCAAATTGTGAAACTCGTGTATTAAATTTTTCCACGATATTCTAATTTATTGAGATGCACCTGTATATGAGAGCGGTCTTCAACATTTTTCATGCCAACTATTAACATCCATGACCAAAAATGAATGACAAAAAATAATAATAATAATATTTAGGTTAAAAAAAATTTATCAAATGTTTAAATAAATTGATTACTAATTGGTGTAATGTCATTCATCATCATAAAGTTTGCCTGTAATAAAATTATGATATGAATTATTATATATCAAATCATGAAATGAAATATGACACGTGATGTGTAAATAAAAAAAAAATTCAAAGAAATATAAATTGTGAACATAATGCTATGATTATTCATCATTTCCAATCAAGTTTTTTTGTTACAATGTAATTCTGTAATGTTTAATATTTTAGTTTTGTACATGTAGTATATATATATATATATATATATATATATATATATATATATATACACACACACACAGTATTATCATTTCATATATAGAAAATATATATTATACATATATAGTTATAAACACCATTAGCCAAGTGAAAGAATTGGTACTATTTATTTATTTATTTATTTTTTTGTTTGTTTGCATAACCAAAATCTTTCATGTGCTAAAAAAAAATGACACTTTTGTAGAAATATTCATGACGTTCTGGGGGGAAAAAAAACGGAATTCTCTGTGATGCATGTAGCTACATACACTCTTTCACATTTTTATGGGATATATCAAATAAACCAGCGAGGAAAAATTTATTTTAAGATAACTTTTAAGTCCATAAGGCCAAAAGTGGCCTTAAACAAATGCCCACCTACAAAGTAATGTTATATACTTGTATAAAACATCAGACTCTGCTCTGTGCATCACATCACTCTCTCTCTCCTCCTGGGTGCAGCAGGCCAACATCACACTCATAATGGAATGTGAGCGATCTGGGTCATGGGAAATGCTTTTTTTCTTTTTTTCCCTCAGACGCCCACCCATTTGACTGCACAGCTGCTGGTGAAAGAAGCTTGTCCTGTTTGGTGGTCTACAGTTTTGGAATGGTTAAAACCTAGATTAAGGAGGAGGGAATTAGTCCTTAAACATTATTAGACTGTAATTTTTCCTCAGACCTGAAGTTCATGTAAATGAACCTGAAGTTCTTAATACTGTATATGCAATGGATTGAAAATTAATTTTTGATTTTGGGACAGTACATAAAATGGTTTATTATACATCCTGTTCATGCATGGTTAATCCACTAGATGGCAGACTCTGATGGCAGATGTGTAATGCAGCTCTATACCTAGAGTAGGCTATGCAATCATCTATCTAAGATCAGACGTTTAGGGGCAGGTTTATCTGAAATAGTATTACCACTGTGGTAAAAAGTGGCGTGAACGTTTCAAACAACATCTTTAAGACTGTATTTTACCATCCTTGCAAGCTTTGGCAAATCCAGTTACTTCACCCTCAAAATAGCTACCTATATCAGCCTGGTGCCTTTTAGCTATGTTTCCATGGGAACACACCTGCATGCCCTTACAAAAGTTGTGTAAAACTATTCAGTTGATTGTATTTTTTTATTTATAATTTTACAGAAAATTTAACATTTAACTAATGACATAAAATTTTCATTTTACTTTTTTGTCAATTAATATTATTAAAATTAAACAGCATTAATGTATATGTAAGATCATTATTCTTAAGTTGATCCACTCTTATAATGTTTTCAGTGATTATGTAAAACCAGGCCTTAGGCAGGAGTTTCTCTGCCGAGAGGGGAATCTCCTCTCTCTCCCTCTCTTTCATTTTTCAGGAAGAGATTCTTTCTCAGCTGCAACTGTTAATTGTCTTCAGGATTTCCTCTCTCTGGGGCTTTTCTTCCCGTTTACTTCCTTCCATGCTGTTACAGCAGTTTTTATTCTTCCTTTAATTCATAAAAGAACCGCCGTGTCAGAGTTTGCCCTCACAATGTCACAAGAGGCAGAAGGCCTACACCACCGAAATAACAGATATTTTGCTTAATCTATGTCTTTATATTACAGTCAGCAGTTTCAGTGTTGTGATTGCAAGAATACTAAAAAGCGAAGGAAATTGCTGTTCTTGTGAAAGGGTTTGATTTTCAGAATGAAGACAAACTGCCCTAAAGTTTCTAACACGTGTATTAAATTAACTGTTTGTAGTCCACTGTTATCTCATGAGTATTCATATGTATTTTACATACAATATGATTCTACCACACATACATTTACTTAAGTTTGCATAAACACTAACATATGAATACTTATTTAATCTATGTATATTAAATTCTTAATGAAATGAATTGGTTGATTCTATTGTATTTATGATCAATGAAATTATGTTTTAAGTCATGTTTATTAGCTAAACGAAGTTGGCTTACTTGCTTAATGTGAAATTCTAACATTTCATTCTGTTCTGTGTGACTTTTGGTGCCAGCTACACTCTAAAAAATGCTGGGTTAAATATAACCCAGCGCTGGGTTAAAAAGGGACAAACCCAGCTATTGGGTTGTTTTGACCCAGCGGTTGGGTTCAAAACAACCCAATAGCTAGGTCAAAACAACCCAATAGCTGGGGTTTTCCCTTTTTAACCCAGCATTTTTTAGAGTGTACTAACAGCTATAGCAATAGCTTGCAAAATAGCTGGGTTTTTCCCTTTTTAACCCAGCATTTTTTAGAGTGTAGCTTCAAATTATTACATAATTTTAAGACTACAAGATTAGGCTACACTTTACACTTTAAATCAAGGTTACTCATGATTTATGTAAAAACTTTGATTTTTTTTCCACTTTATATGCTTTAGAAATGTAAAACATCCACATTTCACATCATTATTGGGTGCTTTGATAATATAATTGTGTATATGCCATTGCGTGATTACGCGAATTGGTTATTTAAACCAGTTAATTGAAACAAACTGTCCAAAAGAACCAGTTTACAGAAAATAATCTGACTTCCCTGTTTGCCTGAGGGTATGGATTATAAGTAATAATGTTGTAAAAAAATTTCAGTTTCTTACACAGACTGATGGTTTCATGTCATATGACCTCAATATATCATCACGAGCCACATTTATTAATTTTGTGTTACTTGATATGCTTTTCTTGACTCTTAAAATGATGATAGCCATTGACTTGCATTTTATAAATCAGCAAGAATAATGGATTCAGCTAAAAATCTTTACTTTTCTACTGAAGAAAAAAAGTCACCTACATCTTGGATGGCCTCAGTGTGAGTAAATTAACCTGTATTTTTCATTTTTGGGGTGAACTATCCCTTTAAAGGGGTCCTATTATGCTCTTTTACAAAGTCTTGATTTTGTTTTGGGGGTGTACTAGACCAGGCTGATACTAGGTTGTTCGAAAAACACATTATTTTTCACATATTTTACATTATTACAACACCTCTCTCCCCAGTCTGGCATGAACGGCTCGAATAGTTCCTGTATCAAATGAAGGCCCGCCTTCTGAAATACGAAATGTGCTGTGATTGGTTAGCTGGGCCAGAGTATGTTGTGATTGGCAGCACGGGGAATGTCATGCCCCTTACCATAGCCGCCTGCATGCTTCAGTGTAAATATTGCGTCAAAATCAAATCAATTTGAGCGCGATTTAAACCCGGATTATTGTAACCACTCTAAGTTTCTCTGCCTTGGGAAAGCTAGCGTGTCTCCGACATAGTGGTAACACTCTTCTCTTAACACTCTGTCTTCTCTAGTGCAGTTCAACCAGGTCTCGTCTTATTTGTCGGTATTTGTGATATCACAAATCCCGGAAAATATGCGTTGTAGTCCAAACGAGTCGTTCGTTGTAGTTTTTGAAAAGTGATTTCTGTTAAATAAAATATCTCCTTTTGAATTGGACTTTGAGCTTTGTAACTTTGCAGATCTTTTTTATGCTCAAACAGCAACATTACAGACTAACTAAAGGGGAAAAAGTGAAAAAGCCTAATAGCACCCCTTTAAAGGGGTCATATGATGCGATTTCAATTTTTCCTTTCTCTTTGGAGTGTTACAAGCTCTTGGTGCATAAAGAAGATCTGTAAAGTTGCAAAGACTAAAGTCTCAAATCCAAAGAGATATTCTTTATAAAAGTTCAGAGTCAGCCACACCTACCTAAAACGGCTCGTTCTAACACGCCCCCACATATCTACCTCACTATGTGGGAAGATTTGCATAACGCCGCCCAAATGTTCACGCAAAGAAAGAAGGCGTAACTTTTATTCTCACTGTAGTATTGTTGACGCTGCAGCCATGTCGTGAAGACGCTGTGTGCTTCGTTGTGAAAGCGAAACTACTTTGTTTGGTCTTCCAAAAGAGGACGATATCCGCTTCGTCATGCCTAGAGCTGATCTGTGCTGGTCACTGAGGGAATACATCGACTTTCACCGTGGACGAAGCGGAGACCAGCCCGCCTCAGCGCACGCTAAGCCGGGGCTTCGGCTCACGCTAGCCCGGCCTCAGCTTTTAGCAGCATCATATGTCATATTTAAGTAATTTTAGCCCCTTTGAATGGTGAGGCCCCCTAGTGGGCCACGCAGAAGAACCATCGCTTTTGGAGAGAAATTAGCGTTTTAGGACCCTGAGGAGGAGCAGCTCTTGTCCTCTCCTCCGTGGCTTTCATGAAGGTGTGTGGTAAGTGTTGGCCTGATTGAGTGCCAGTGGAGGGATGAAGAAAACAGCGGACGGTCACGCGTGTCCAGCATGCGCACATACAGCTCTGCGCATCTCATCTCATCATGACCGGGGCTCACCTCAACTATAGCGTCTGTCCTTGAATTGTACAGTTCTTGGATTTGTGGACTACTGGGACTAATATATATATTTTAACAACTTCTTTGTTTAGCTGTATAAAAGTTGAAGAGAACAGCTTTTGGACTGTTGTTTGACTGATTTCTTAAATTTATGTAATTTGTTGAAAGTCCTAAGAAGGAAGAAATAACACGAACAACCAGCAGAAACAACATCACAAAGCTAATTTATTCAAGGATCCGCGCATTGACTAAAAGGAAATAAACATGTCCAGCAGAAGCATCGAGTGGGAGCATTTCGAGGAGCGCGAGAAGAGTCACCGGTCCCCGCGGGGCAGTGGCGGTTCTCATTCCGGCTCGCGGGGTAACGGGCTCGTGCCCAGTCCCGCTCACAGTGCGCACTGTAGTTTCTACCGCACACGCACACTGCAGTCGCTCACCTCCGAGAAGAAAGCGAAAAAAGTTCGCTTCTATCGGAACGGTGATAAGTACTTCAATGGCTTGGTGTACGCGGTGTCCGGTGACCGCTTCAGATCTTTCGACGCGCTGCTGATGGAGCTCACCCGCTCACTCTCGGACAATGTGAATTTACCGCAAGGAGTCCGGAACATCTATGCTATGGAAGGAGGGAAGAAGATCACCAGCCTGGATGAGTTACTAGAAGGTGAGGCTGCAAAGGTCTAAATGTCTGGATAGACACAACAGACACTTCAAATTCTTTTCCCCATGTGACAATACATCCAGTAAAGCATCACTGGTATTATCATACTCAAGTCATTGTAAGAATGCATTGTTTGCAATGTTGCAACATGGCAAGTCAGAAAATGCTGGGTTGTTTCAACCCAACTTTGGGTCAAACTTGGACAAACCCAGCTGTTGGGTTAAATTTTTAAATGAAAATTTTAACCCAAAAGTTGGGTAACCGTTAGACCATATTTGATCCAAAGTTGGGTTGAAACAACCCAGAATTTTTTTAGAGTATAACTTTTCCAAGTCTCTGACACACATAAACACTGGATTTTAAATTCACACTGCAATTTTCTGTACACTCTAAAAAATGCTGGGTTAAATATAACCCAGCGCTGGGTTAAAAAGGGACAAACCCAGCTATTGGGTTGTTTTGACCTAGCGGTTGGGTTGTTTTGACCTAGCGGTTGGGTTGTTTTGACCTAGCGGTTGGGTTGTTTTGACCTAGCGGTTGGGTTGTTTTGACCTAGCGGTTGGGTTGTTTTGACCTAGCGGTTGGGTTGTTTTGACCTAGCGGTTGGGTTGTTTTGAACCCAACCACTGGGTCAAAACAACCCAATAGCTGGGTTTGTCCCTTTTTAACCCAGCGTTGGGTTATATTTAACCCAGCATTTTTTAGAGTGTGCTTTATTGGCATGATTGTTCTACATATTGCAAAGACATACTTTAAAAACAAACAAATAAATAAATGCACCAGTAATGTTATAAAAAGTATCTACACACTGTATTTGTAAATAAATCTGTGTCTAATTTTCAGAGTGAACTTTAAACATTGCAAGCCATGCATGCTAACTAGGATAGCAGTAATTAACATTGTTTTAACCAAGATTACTGTATGTTTATTTAATTAATAATCAGCTGATGAAATAGTATATTAAGACACAGTAAGTTTCATGTAATTTAAGGCCACTGTCATTAATAAGGCCCATTCCTTCCCTGACTCAACTTGAAAATAGACATGGAACAGGATATTTAAGGGATAGTTCACCCAAAAATGAAATGATGTCATCATTTGTTCACCCTCTTGTCAAGACATTAACAGAAGACAAAAAGAAAATATTTTGTTTGAACTGTTTTGGTCAATATAATGAAAGTCAGTGGGGTCAGGTCCCACTGGACCCAGCTGTATTTCAGGGTATGGACAAAAACACTGAGTCATACATATTTTCAAAATACCTTCTGTGCTCCATAGAAGAGAAAGCCATTTAGAACAACATAAGAGTGAGTAAACAATGACAGAATTGCCATTTTTGGGGGGTGAACTATATTGCTTTGACTGCCACTGGTCATTCAAAGCCAGCATTCAGTCACAATGAATAAGTAAGATTGTATAACATGCATCTAAATGTTAATAATGTTCTCTTAGAATACATATTTTTATATGTATATAGCCATTATAGTATGTAGACTGGACTGTCATAAAAACCAACCCAAATATCCAGACCTTGTTGTTATTGCGCTATGGTATTTCAATAATATAGTGAAAGCAGAATTCATTACATAATTAAAGAATTTAACGTGGCAAATCACGTTATTCTAAACAATTCAAGCTGTATGAGTATATATTTTTACTAAATTAGTGTGCAAGCACAAGTGCAGCTGCTGTGGTCCAGCATGTGAGATTGTGATGCAGAATGTGGCTCTGTGTTTGCTCAATGATGCAATTGTACAAGTGCTTTGCATGTGAAGTGCCGAGCTCAGCATCTCTTCACGCTGACTGAGCGTTGGCTTAGTTCTCTTTTGTTAGAAATCTGTGTAAAGTCTTAAACACACATGATCAAAGCATTAATGAATGCTACTTGCTAAAGATCACCAGCAATAGGCAACTATATTGGAGTGTTTGTAGCTACAGATACTACTTACTGTACTGGCGCACCACACTTTGTTGAATGATGGGTACATCAGGGTCCCATCTGGACATCAAGACTGGCTATGAGAGGGTGATGGAGGGTTCATAACCTCAGTGGTTGTTCCAGTCCACACCTGAGTCCCATGTGAATGACATCAGTATTACTATTTTTCTGTCTTCCAACACACATATTATATCAAATAGCTGCCATCTGATTTTGGGTCAGTTTTTCATCAGTAATAGTGACCCCATCTGGAGTCTACTTCATTAATTAGCCTTTTGTTAATTTCTCAGCTTAATAAAGCCCAGTGCCTTGGGAGTCCCTCCTTCCCTCCTATTTCTGAGGCAAATGGAGTGAAATTGAGATTTTATGATCCAGTGGCGGTAACAATGACATTTATGTTGTGGATGAATGGTTGTAGTTCTGGGTCAGTGGTGGAACTAAACGCTGGCTATATTCTTAGTATTAATTGTTAGTTATTTATCTGAAAATGCTTTAAAAGATATTTGCATGCATGACATTTCCATTGTTTGGTGTTTTGGGTTTTGTTTTAGACATTTAGGTTTTATTATGTCTTAAATTTGGCTTATTGTTTTAATTTGGATTGCACACTAAACATGAAATATTGCATTAAAGCTCACAGACCATGATTATATCACACATCTCTTCATACTCTCATGTGAATAAAAAAACGTTTCATTCACACCAGGTGAGTCATCTGTTCTCAGTTGCCTCTCTTAGCTACTAAGATGAGAAACATATATATAATTTTTCATTTTAGTTTGAAGCCCACTAGTTTCACCAGGGGATGTAGACCTTGCTGTTCAGATTCAGATTATATTTCAGTTTCTTTTCTGAGTAGATAGTGTTTATGTAATGAAGCTAAATAGTTTGGTGTGCATAGTATGCACATCCAAGAGTGATGTCACTTACCATAATTTGTGTTCAGACATGGTCATTGTTTGCTCATTTTTATTTTTTTTCTGTTTGACACTTAAATATATTCGGAAACATTCATCCATATGCTTGATCTAGACTCAAATATCTTTGTTTCTATGTGAGGGTATAAACTTCAAATGTAAGTGGCATTAAGGTATTTATTTCACTGTTTGCAACATAATTGGATCTGTAAAGATCAAGGGGCGAGCTATTTGGGTATAAATTTTGATTTAAATTGCACTGCAGAAATGCAGCTCTGGACTTGAAGAGCAGCACTTCAAAACATATCTGTGCATATGTTCTACATTCCTCAAGACTGCTCTAGTTCAGTGTGTTTATGTGTGCGTGAGCATGTCTCATCTCAGTGTGTGTGTGAAGTGGAATTCGGCCTCCAAATCCAGCTGAATGGTCACATTTTCAACTCCTGATATCATCTTGACCCCTCGACCTTAAAGGGGTCATATGACTTTGCTAAAAAGAACATTATGTTGTGTATTTGGTGTAATGCAATGTGTTTATGCGGTTTAAGGTTAAAAAAACACATTATTTTCCACATATGGCAGCGCCGGCAACAACAATACTACAGCGAGAATAAAAGTTACGCCTTCTTTCTTTGCATGAACATTTGGGCAGTGTTATGCAAATCTTCCTACACAGTGACGTAGACATGTGGGGGCGTGTTTAAACGAGGCGTTTTAGGAGGACGTGGACAAGTCTTAACTTTTATAAAGAATATCTCTTTGGGTTTGAGACTTTAGTCTTTGCAACTTTAGGGATCTTATCTATGCACGAGCAACTTGTAACACTCCAAAGAGAAAGGAAAATTTGAAATTGCATCATATGACCCCTTTAACATGAGAATCACTTTACCACCAGCTTAATTAATCAAAATCACATGCGCATGAGTGATGTTATACTGAATATCTTGGCAACTGAATGTAGAGGAAATAGAACTAACCAAATCCATATGACTTGATATGAGTAAATTGCATACAAAATACATCACACAAATTCATTTTGATTTTGAAATGAATTTAATCTGTTGCTAATCATACTTTTGATGGATGTGCTAATTCATCAGAAGCCATAACTGTTGTAAATGTGACGTTCAGATATGTTTTCTCTGAGGTAGGGAGGAAGCAGGAGGGGATGTTTGTTTTTGAGGGTTGTTTGTTCTCTTTTGATACACTAGCATTTCTTTTGTCCCAACAGCACTGCACTCCTTAGGATGACAAAGCTCCATTTTCAGACCAGATGTCTCTGCTGTAGTGCCAAGATGTGCCATCATCACACATAAACAAGCATGGCCTTTATGCTGTCGTGCACACTTTCAGGGGCTTTAAGTATTAACACAATGTCTATCAGACAAGCCGAAGTTTAGTCATGTAAACGTTTCATAATGAACTCCATAATGAAGGAATTTAGGCAATGTTTCTTGGTAAATAATGTTTCATTCTTGTGGTATTCATTTATAAGGACTTTTGGTTTGTGAAGTATAGCTATGTGAATGGAAGTGCATACTTGCTAACAGTTACATTGGAATTCCTGCAAAAAGGAAAATACTTTGCATTGGACTTTGTCCAAAACCAGAGCTGAAAAGTGTAGCGAGGCAGATCTGGGGTCACAGATGGGTTAAGTGTGTTTTTATTCAACCCAGCCCTGTGCAGTCTCTGGTTATCTTAGATGTACATGTAATGGCAGTATATTATTGTATTTACTTTTTTTATGAGACACTGAGGTGTTTCATATGGAAGCATGTTTCCTCAGTGTAAAAAAAAATATATATATATATTTTATTATTATATTTATACTACTAAATAAATAAGAGCAACTTTACATTTCACAATCACTATGGGCCCTATTTTAGCGATCTAAGCACATGGTCTAAAGCGCACGGCGCAAGTGCACTCAGGGCGTATCCAAATCCACTTTTGCTAGTTTAACGACGGTAAAACGGTCGGCGTGCCCGGGCGCATGGTCTAAACAGGTTGTCCCTATTCTCTTAATGAGTAATGGGTGTTTTTGGGGCGTAACGCGCAATAAACCAATCAGAGTCTCATCTCCCATCCCCTTTAAAAGCCAGTTGAGCTCACGCCATGGCGGGTTTGCTATTTACATGGCGGAATGTAATTTTTCATTTTTAAAAATGTTCGTGTGCTGCTGTATGTGTAATAAGCAAAGTGTACACGCGTTGTGCACCCGCCTATAGGCGCATATTAGTAACGCGCTCCTTAAATAACAAAGAAAAAATATTGCGCCAGACGTTAGACCAGGTTTGAGTTGGTCTATGGCGCGGTCTATTTTCAGTTCCTCAAAATAGCAACGCGCCAACAATGCACCTGAACACACCTCTTTTTTAGACCAGCACGCCCATGGGCGCACAAATGGGCGCAAATGCATTTGCTTTTTAAACAACGCGGCGCAGGACGGGAAAATGAGAACTACGTCGGGCTGAAACTAGCAAAAACACTTGTGCCGCAGTCTATTACACCCGGCCTTGATAGGGCCCATTATGCGCAATTCACCAAGGTGAGACAGGGACTAACAGGATCAGTCAGGGAGACACACACACAAACACACACACACAGATGAGTAGCACATGTATGGTGCATGAAAAGCAGCACTACTGACAGGGTGAAAACACACATCGCACCAGAGCGGCTACCACCTGTCAATCAAACTGCAGCGGTCCGGGCCACAAACAGCGGAGAGCCATCATTACCGTGCTAACCTGTGTGGAGGTGTCACTTCTGTCTCACTTGCTTTTTAAACATATATGACTGCACATTCACACACACACACACACACTGCTTCCATACTGACTCTCCTCCCTGTGGAGCTCAGTGTCACATATGTGAACTCTCCTATATCACACCAGAGGTGCAAAAGCCTTCATTTCCACAGAGATAAGGGAAACATTTCAGATTCTGTTTCAACAGAGGCATGATGCCCTGAAACTGGAGAATGGGTGAGTTTCCCTCCGCTTCTGTCAGCGCATCCCTAAACCTCTGAACAGACATTTACTGTGAGCTTCGTCCCCTGGGCTCCTCACGGCCTTGCCATGCATGCATACAGAGCCAGAGCTGGAAAGAAGGGGGAAAAGAAACCAACCTCAACAGTAGAACACAATGGGGACAATGTTGGATTTTGTAGAGCCCTATTCTCTTAATGAGTAATGGGTGTTTTTTGGGCGTAACGTGCAATAAACCAATCAGAGTCTCATCTCCCATCCCCTTTAAAAGCCAGTTGAGCTCACGCCATGGCGGGTTTGCTATTTACATGGCGGAATGTAATTTTTCATTTTTAAAAATGTTCGTGTGCTGCTGTATGTGTAATAAGCAAAGTGTACACGCGTTGTGCACCCGCCTATAGGCGCATATTAGTAACGCGCTCCTTAAATAACAAAGAAAAAATATTGCGCCAGACGTTAGACCAGGTTTGAGTTGGTCTATGGCGCGGTCTATTTTCAGTTCCTCAAAATAGCAACGCGCCAACAATGCACCTGAACACACCTCTTTTTTAGACCAGCACGCCCATGGGCGCACAAATGGGCGCAAATGCATTTGCTATTTAAACAACGCGGTGCAGGACGGGAAAATGAGAACTGCGTTGGACTGAAACTAGCAAAAACACTTGCGCCGCGCCGGGTGTATGATAGGGCCCAATATCTCAGAATAGTAAATTTATATCTCAAAAATACAACTCTCAAAATTGTGACTTCATATCTTACAATGGTGCCTATATATAGAACTGTAACTTAATATTTTAGAAATATGACTTTATATTTCACAATAAGACTTTATTTCTCAAAATTTGTAATTTCTCCCTGTTGCAACGTTCTCACAATTGCAACTTTTTGTATTATAATTGCGGTTTTATCAAAATTTCCACAATTGTGTCTTTGTCTCATAACTGCAAATTTATATGTTTGACTACTTTTTATTTTGAACTTTATCTCAGAACTGCCTGTTTTATTTTGAGTTTAACTTGCAAAAATGGGCTTTCATATCAAGCTACTAGGGGCGCAGGGCCCTACTGTTTTTCTAAGGATTATTATTTCATTTATTTATTTATTTTTTTAAGTTTTGTGGGGTTTTTGGGTCCCTTAACATGCTCAAAAACTCTTGAAACTTGGCACACTCATTGAAATTTGCGGCCATCAGGGCCAGGCAGAGTTTCACATGGGGGAGTCACCAGGAGGGCCCGTGGCACACTGCTTAATAGGGCCAATTTCGAGGGACTCTGTAGCACACACCTCGCAAAAGGAAGTCATCTATTCTGGGTTTTGTGAAAAACGTATGCTGTGGAATTTGTGTAACTCCTCCTAGGTTTTTCATCTGATCACCACCAAACACGGTCAACATGATCTTATGGTTTGGCCATGGTGTGGCGATGAATTTATAGTGAAAACAAAGGGAAGCAGGAAATGTGTTATAACTTGCACATACTTTGTCTGATTTTGATGAAACTTCAGCAGTTTGTTTGTTGTATGATGCCATATGATCACATAGATGTGACTATTATGAGTCAAAGTTATAGCACCACCAACTGGCAACAGAAAATGCTTTTAAATCAGCCTCTTATTTTTACCTGATTTGCTTCAAACTTCACCTGAATAATGCCAAAACATGGCAGATGTAAAACTGTGAAGGGATTTTTGATATCTTATATAATGTTGCCATGGCAACGTGTCAAACTTGAATATTCTTTTCAGGTGTTTTTAAGGCACTTAACATGCTTAGAATTTCATGAAACTCGACACACACACACACACGCACACACACACGCACACACACACACACATCAGTATTAATGAGAGTTAGACACTGGCAAAAGCTCATTGATGGACGTGGAGCAGGCGCTCTATAGTGCCATCTTTTGACAAAACTGGGGAGGGTTAGTTTTTCCTACAGTCACCAAACTCATAGTACATATATTGTTCTCATCAAGCTGAACAACTTTCTAATTTACAGTCATTAGCTACGACCAACTGGAAGTTAGTTATTTTTAGTTTGGATATGGATTCATGGAAAAACCATGCTGTGAATTAATGCATACTCCTCCTAGGAGAATCAGGCAATTCACACCAAGCTTTGTCAACATGATGCAAAGATACTGAAGATGCTAAACTGAAAACGGATTTTGGATATCTTAAATGGTGTTGCCATGATGATTTATTAAATAACAGAAAAAAGATAACAGTAATTTTCTTATATCCTTAAAGTGCATTATCCAAACTCTTCAAAACTTTTTTACATATGGAGAACAAGTCATTCTTAGGAAATATGCTTAGTTTCATAAATTTATATAAATTGCTCAGGGGCCAACAAAAAATAAAAAATATATCAGACATTTCAGCTGACAGATGAAGGCTGTAATACTAAGGTTATATTTTTAGAACTTTTAGTTAATATATAAAATAGGCCGTATTCATCACAGTATTTAAATGTCTACTTCATAAATGTCTAAAATCACCTCTTACCTCCAAACATGATGTCAAAAATGCATTTGGATTAGCATGTGATATAGGTTTTCATAAAAGTGGCACTTTATTCATAACTGAAGACCTATATCTGCATTTTGAAGCACTTTGAACAAAACAGTTCCATTCATCTTATTCTCCTTGTCGCCCTTGGCAGGTGAAAGCTATGTGTGTGCTTCCAGTGAACCCTACCGTAAAGTGGACTACACCAAGAACATCAATCCCAACTGGTCAGTCAATGTGAAGTCGGGCACATCCCGCTCGTTGCCATCACTTATCACCTCGAAGAACGAGCTACGAGAACGAGAGAGCAAAGATTTCATCAAACCCAAGTTGGTGACGGTCATCAGGAGTGGTGTCAAACCCCGTAAAGCTGTCCGGATACTCTTGAATAAGAAGACTGCGCACTCTTTTGAGCAAGTGCTCACAGACATCACTGATGCCATTAAACTGGATTCTGGTGCTGTGAAAAGACTTTATACTCTGGAGGGCAAACAAGTAAGTGATAGATCTAAAAAGTTATTTAATAAAATTATTTAAATAAAGATATTAGCCAAATCCCACAGGGGGTTGAAATGGCCCCTATGGTTTCAAACAGGATCATTAATCTAAATGTTGTCTGAGTTATTTATGCTCTGGCATTTTCTGGAAAACATTGGAAATCAGCACAGGCCTATTACTTTCACTCTGGCATAGTATCATTACTACATCTTTAATTTGAACAGCTATCACGTTTTATCGCTGTGTTGAAGACTCTACAAACTTTCAGTCTATGAAGGGTCTTTGGCTAACTGCATTTTTAATATTATAGATGTATGTTTGCATAGAAACTAGCGATTAGCAATATTCAAAATGTCAGTCCGATTAAACTGTAAAAGTTGAAGACTGAATTTCACATGACAGTCCCTTTCCTCATAGGGAACAAATTTGCCTCAAACAAAAATGCAAAAAAAAAGTCTTCCCATGATTTTTTTTTTTTTTTTTCAGTTTTTAACATTTAGGTATTTTTTTTTTAGTTAAAACGTCTAAAAACGATATTGTCATGACCTGCTTATGCAATGAATCTGGGATTGTTTTTTTTAATTTTATTTTTAATGTAATCTCGGGAGATGCTTTTCATAAGTTTTTGAAATGTACAGATATGTTGATTATATATCAGCAGATATATATTGTTTTTTTTTCTGTTCTAGAAGTTAATATATCAGTCCTATTTATCAGCCCTAAGTATAAACAAGTTAAGTCAATTTCATCTGTTTTTTAGAGGTAGCTTCCTATACTCACTGTATTTCTCCTTTTCCCTTGGATGCGCCAATAGAGAATTGTCCTGGAAAAAATTAGGCCACACTTGAGTATTTTATTACCTTTAATACGCTTTAGTGATGCTACCCTCAAGGGGCTCTCAAATAATGATCTGAGCTGTTGTCATATAGATAGTACAGAATTATACATCAGGAGCTGGTAATGACCACCTGAACCCTCTTTAATTCTGAACATGCTTTACCCAGTCCAGATGGGAAATACAGATGGGGCATGTCTTTAGTCACCTCTGTGGTTATTAGGACACTAAAACAAGTCATTCTCATTTCTTTTATGTGGTTAACCCAATCTACAGTTCGTTCTATGAACGTGTTCGATTATGTTGCAGCTTCACATTATTCATTGATATTTCCATTTATCTTAGTAAATGAAATACTTCACTATAAGTAATCAAAATACTTTGGTTATTTACAGTAGTCTCTGAAAAAAAAAATAGACAGGAACACACATTATATTGGAATTGTTTGACAAAGTATAATATAGAGGACTGGCAGAAAGCACAATTGACCTTTGTATTCTGGTAAAGACATGGACACTGAGCATTCAGCCATGGTCTTTCCAGCGGAGACAGTATTCGAGACAGAGTGTGTCCCACTGTTTTTTTCTTCTCTTTTCATCTGTACATGTAGCATTTCATTTCATGTCTGTGTGGTGCTCTGTGTTTGTTTACTCATCTTTTAAGTTTTTGAGACAATGTATCCTTTTGTTTCCTAAAAATATAAATGTGAAATTTCAGCAAATAAAGAATATTTATTGTTTCTTTGGAACACAAAATACATTTTGAAGGATCTTCATGCAGAAATCTTATGGGGGCAGGGGAATTATCCCCTTCTGTTCTCATCCAAAAAGCTAGGGTACATGCTTGATGGGACGTGGGTAGCTGACACGTCTTGATGATGTTGTCAGGGATTTGGCACAGCAGTCGTGAATTGTATATAGAAAGCTCCAGGCTGCCTCTCGACCACCGTGAATCTCTTTGGAATTTAGTGATGGAACTCATTCACATATCTGAAGTCTGTCCTGGCTTAATCTGCCTTAATTATGCAAAACTGCCTCCAAGAATTGCTTGACAAAGGTGAATGTAGAATTATTATGGTAATGTCTTAGGCTGGATTTATATGAGAAAGTGGCTGAAATAAGTCACTCTATGTTATTTGGGTGGAAGAAATATTGTCATTTTGAGACCCTGCGACCTAATAAATAACCCTCATGAGAGTCCCACAGGGCTCTGTTTTTGGCCCTTTTCGTTTCAGTATTTACATGCCCTCTTAGTCACATCCTGTCTCAGTTATTATTGCTATGCTAAAGACATTCACATCTATATTTTCACTTGTTCTGAATAAGACCTTCCCAACCCTCTACAATGTGTGTAAATCGCTTGCATATGCAACAAATTCTTCACTCTTGGCGACTAAATGATGTCTAACATTAGCCACTGGCTAATAAATTCTTATATTTTATTCGCCACTGTGTGAGTTGGAGGCTAAGCATAAGTTTAGCACAGATATATTTTTACTCGTCAAACACTCAAGAGTTTCACTCTCCGTCAAGCGATCTGTACTAGTTTTCATTTCATCTCAATTGATGCGCAGCATAGCTGTATTTGACATACGTAAACTCTAGTGTGAAGGCACACAACGTATGTGCAAGCATCATTGTCTGGCGCTCACTAATTATCGTCCCTGTTTTGATTTCAGCATATCAGTTGGAGCAAACAACAATGTGATTAATATTCATGAACCCAGCAGCTCATTAATCCTTAGTGCGTTTTATTTTGTCATTAGTAGTAGAATCCGTATTATTATTATTATTATTATTATTATTATTATTATTATTATTAGCCTGTTATTGATTATATTTCTATTTTCGTTTATTCGTTTTTTTCCTCTTCAATTCGATCACTTTACTCAACGTTCTATGATACTGTAAATGCTGGACATAATAAAAGTCTGGCGAGTAAACTAAAAAAAGTATTAGCCAATGGCAATTCCCTTTTGCCAAGGTTTTGTAGAGGGTTGCCTTCCACTCTTATAATCTTACTTATTGCCTGCATTTAAGTCTGGTTGCACTCTTACTTCTGCAAATACAACAATACCAAAACTGTGGTTAGTACCACAGCTCTGCAACTAATTCCCATTTAGCCTTTAATGATGATTATTATTATTATTATTATATCTTAGAAAGTTTGGAATGTCCAGAGTAGACTTCATTTGTAGAAAACATTTAAATTGCACCATATGTTAGACCGTCTCAACCTGTGAAATGGACTTTTAGCCCAAAGTGCTCTACATTATTCATTGACTGTATGTAGCTGAGATTGAGCAGCCAATGGCAGTTTACCACTAATATATGTGGGCTCTAGTGCTGTCTATGATTGAGAAGAGCATGCCATCTACCCTGCAGCACAGGGAATCCTGATGTCTGTGAGTGGCTCAGTGGGAGTAGCTCCTGGCACACACACAGATAGCATGGTTTGTCACCGATAAGCAGTAAAATGTATGATGAGATAGCACTGCAGTGATACCCATGTCTTTAAGACATTTCAGGAATATCCCTTTTATTGAGGAGACATTTTATGAATCTTAACACCAGCAAATGGGATTTTTACTTTTAGATTGCAAGATTAAGTCAAGACAAAATAAATGTAGTCGTGTTTTTTTTTTAAAGTCACAGGTTTTAATTACAGGTTATTAGTATTTTTATTATGTTTTTACTTATCTAATAGATCTTATTTGTGCCTCGAATGGTTTAAAAGTAGTCATGGGACCCCAAAGTATCCTATATTTATAGAATATACTCTACTGTACATAAATTGGTCCACTCATGCATTTCTATACAGTTTATCTTGTGTGCTCACCTCAGCAATCATGGTAATGAGGCATTTGTACATAGCTCAGTGCTGCTGTACTCTCACTATGTGTCTTTTCTTTGCCTTATAGTAAGATTAACGTCTTTGATGAATCACTTTACAGCTGAGGTATGAGAAATGGGATGAGAAAGAAAAACATTAGCATTCAGCATTCAGATTGGAATTTTATATTTGCATACACCAATGACAAGGTTCCAAGGAACATCCAACTAGATCAAAATGCAGTCAAAATGCAAATCCATCAGACTGACTTAGATGAAACTTGTCTTACATTTAAGCTGCTTACTCACACAGTGAATACTCATCTTATTGCATTTTAATGGCATTTGCGTGTGTGTGCGCGTGTGTAACTAT